AACCCTATGTCGCACCCGCTCGTTTTTTTCAGACATTTTCTGTCGTAAAGTGTTAGGTCGTTTCTTCTACGACTACTCAAGTTTGGAATGGCTCTATCTGTGACCGTTTTGCAACCTTTCCTGATGGGCTCGTTGGCAATGAAATTGGTCACTTTCGAAACGCTGTCGGCGGGCGAACGCCAACCACTGACAACAATGCGGCGTCGACGGCAACTCTTTGGATAAAATTGTCTCGTGCCAAAACAGTGTACAAGATTTCGGAAATCTGCCTAAGCGACGAAGCTCATGCCTCCCACTTCCTCACACGCAGTCGGAGATGATTGGCGGCCGCCGAACGATTTCACTTGGACCGAACGAAAACTAGGGCGAAATGTTGCCAAACAAGAAGGTCCAATTATTTGTAGCTGTCGATTGTCGTTGGAATTATATTTTATCACACTAGTCAACTCCCGGAAAACTTTCCTCTCAGAATCGTGCTAGAAAACTTGAGGCTAGAACTTTAAGGAGATTTCCCCCAAATCAAGCAGGCTTTCGGATCGGATACTCCTGCTCATACCAAATTTTCGTACTCAATTCCTTTGAGAGTGTCACTGTCAATGTTGATCCACAATCCCACTTGCCCTCGTTTGCCAGTTTCCTCGACTTATAGCTACATTTAATTCAGCGGGATTGTGCAGCAGCACACGGTCGGACTCCACCTGATGGTCTGTGTGTAGTGGCATCACCAAAGAGACGCTGTGATTACGGTGGTTACACAGGCGAAAAAATGGCATTAGTCATCCAATGATGCGAAAGCGTCAACCGTGATAAAGTATACGAACTCTACTTGGACTGGATGAGCCTCGTGTCCTGTCGCCCAAAAACTATTTAACCAGCAGCAGGAACCGAAAGCTTGCCTTCTGGTCCTGATCCAATCGGCTGCTGCGGACAAGCAACCACATTCACGAAACTTCACCACCGACTTGCCTTGAAAAAGACCCATGAGAAGCAGTCCGAAATGTCGATACTGTTCAGTCACCGGAGTGACCACCGTATCTTTTTCATTGTGTTTGAGTAAACCGTATTTCAAGCTACTCTTTCACAACACTTTTTTCCACATCGTCCAACAGTGTGCAAAATGCTATAGAACACCTGGAAACGTCGTTTGCGTTTGGAAAGACATGCATGTAGGAACCGTATTTGTTGTCGAAGAAGAGTTATCTATCTGGTCCCCATAAATGATGAATTTCCTCCGGGAGATGCATTTCGACTTTATCATTCACCATTGTTCTCGATCTTCTTTTCCGAAACAACTCTGACCCTGACAAATAAAAAAATCTCATTCAAAAGGGTAGGCGCAGTTCACGATATCTGGCTAGATATCTTGCTGACTTAGAGAATACAGTCGATTTCGTCCTGGTGAATATGGAGAACGTGTTTCGTCACTTGACGGCCTTTGTATTCAACACAGCGGAAAGCTGATCTCTTCTTTTACGCCCGGAAGTCAGAAGTTCTCGGATGAGCCTCTCTGGCACAGCGAATCTGCAAGTAGAATGGGCGATGAAGCGCTTCAGGAGATGATCAATTTAAGTATCACGAATCCATTATCTCCTGCTTTGGCACCATCCAGCCAAAGTGAAATGGGAGGACCGTTTTGACCTCGAGTGCTTTTGGAAATATGCGTAATGTTTGGGTCGAGAAAGAAGCAACTTTTGCAATGAAAATCCGCTTGTACATTGCCACTGTCAGATCAGCAGTTGTTGTGCGGCATGGGGACATTTGTTATAGCGATTGAACAAGGACGACGGTTGAACTGCGTAGGGCAGCGTTGGCTTCGACGCTTAATGAGTCTTAAATGGCAGGACCGCGTAATGAGCGACAGTATGCTATTCCGGGCATCGTTGTTGTCAACCGATAGGGGAAACAAGGTCAGGAGATTGGTCCTGTTAAATAAAATGGCTGAGCATTGGCCATTTACTCGAGAGACGAAGAAGAAGACTGACGTCTACTAGAAAGCCAATGTGGAGGACGGAGCAGTGTGATCGAGCTAGATCTGCATTAGCAGAAAACCCTTTCCTTTTATGATAGAGTAACCTTTCGCTTAGATTAAACGTGCTGAAAAGCTACTAATGCAGCGGATATCAAAAACCAGAGACGTTCTACTAAAGCAAACGGCTCGAAGTGATGATCTCAGCAAACACAGTGACACAGATTTCGATTGTTCGATCAACGCGAACGATAAAAAACATTTAATTGCTGAAAGCTTGGATTAATGCCGGAAGCTTTGGCCAGCTGCCGCCAGCTTTGATGGCAAGATTAATTGCACAACAAATCTAGCATTTCTAGCAATCGAAAGTTCACTAATTCAAAAGCAAAGAGCCGCAAATCCTAGAAGCTCATTAAGCACACATGTTTCATTCAGTACGTTCCGTCACACCTCACTCACAGCTGTCGAAGCGGTTCGAAAACGGCGAGTCGTCCGCTTCGCTCCTGCGTCGGAATCGCATTTCTCTGCGTATGACAAGAAGTAGCAAAATCCTTTATGAGGCGGTTAAGAAATGCATGACCAGTGACGTGCTGCATTTCATGAAGTTTCTGAAAATATTCGGCATGCTTTGATTTTGAGGAGAAGACTGCGATTTGAAATGCTCCCAAGAGCAGCGTCAAATTAGAATATCTTATTATTACGAACTGTTGAGCACATATTTCTAGCCTTTTAGGTTCATTGTAACCTATGCACTTGAAGTCGAAACATAAGTGATTGGAGGATATGCATTTGTTGTTGTTTTTCTCTCAGACCTGTGCAAATGATCAGAAATTAAGAAAATAATCAAAGTGAGGCAAAAAATTTAATCTTTGACAAATTATTTGACGTTAATGTTCAGCGTTTATCGTCACTAAACTTCTTAATTTAAACAGTTAACCGTTAATCCCGTAATTTATGACTTGTTGTATATTCGTCCACGCATTATTTTTTTTTGCGTTTGTATTCATGAGCTGTGTTTTATGCTGCTTTTCATTAACACAGTCATCATTCATTTGAAAACACCTGATTTTAATCGACGGTTCATGTTCTGAACTTATAATTTATTCATAACTGAACTTCAAACTGTGAATGCTACTCATTCCCCTCCCCCTCACTCACACGTTGTCAGTTGAGTTTAAAATACCTATTTTCCGCTGGCCCTGAATTTATTCAGAATATGTCACTAGTTTCCTCCTTACAACCATCCCTGATAATTAAATTGCTTTTATTTGTTATTATTGTAGTGTACCAGTTGGTAGTAAAGTTAGAGTTTACAGGCGTTCGCAATAAAGTTTTGTGAAACTAATTAAAATGGCTGATTACCTAAATTAATCACTAATCGTTTAGAATAAACGAGAAAAGTGAAAAATGTTTGTTCGTTAATTGATCAAGTAGTATTAAAGGATAGTTCTTGGATTAACAGATTAGAGTAGCAATAAAAACAGGCGTCAGCGACTAGCCGTTGAAACCATCAAAGGGCGTCAGATTTCTTGTACAAAGTCTCGCTTCTGATTGCCACAAGTTTTTAATGCCAGTGTGCTTCAGTTCTCTTCTTTCAACAGCTTATCTGATAACTGTAAAGATACTGATCCCTACTCAAACAATTCTTTATCCAAGAGGCCCAGGTGATTTATTAGCCTTTTCCTACTTGACTTCATCATTCGAATAACGAGATCTTAATACCGTTATTTCTCGGAACTCTCGTCATACAGTAGCCTATGAGTGTTGCAGTGATGAAACGAGAGTAATAAATTATCATAGGTTATCAACGACTGGATACAAATCGATAGTGTAATTTTTTGAGTGCAATACTATCGCTTGATTTCCACTGCAGCATGTTTTCTCCTGCTGCTTTTCCGCATAATGGTACTCGTTTATCTACTTTGGAAGGATGACAGTTGATTAGTCATGGTCGGATTCGAACTCACGATCTTTCGACAATGAATTCGATGATCCGTCCACTGATCTACCCAGAAGCGGAAAGAACGCTTTCCTGATTCATTACTACGCCTGGAGATAGTAATTTTGCTTCCCGCTGTTACTATGCATAGCTACTGATTGAATCTACCTGTGTTCAAAACGATCAAAAATATTTGTTGGCCATTGGCACGTTTGTCGATTTGAGTTATGCCAACGACACGCATATTGACATGAATCTTTTAATTAATCGATTATGTTTTTTCTTGATCAGTTCAGTTGAGGGCTCTGATCCTCTAACCATTTCCTCATCGCATCAAATTAAGCAGTTTTTAATGCAAGAGATAGTTTTACTTCGCCTATCAGTTGTTTATGACAAACAAGTTTAAGCATGAAAGCATTAACGAAAAAAGAGAAGAGAAAAATTGCCTTACAAGCTTTTACCTATGCGTTTTTATGGGTATCGCGTTGCGTACGCACATAGTTAGCAAATTGTTGGCCTCCGTCGAAAAAGAGCTTGAAACAAACAAGGGGGTAGCCATGGCGCCATAGTTTCTTCCTCATGTCTGATTTAATCTAACCTTCTTTCTACGTATTCGTGTTTTCTAATGTGTCGTATATTCATTTGTCCAGTGTTGGAACTCCTCCTGAATTAGCACATTTAGTAGCAATTTAGTTTTGGATCGTGTGTGCAGGATCGCATTTTCAATGCATAATTGTTGTGAATGGCATATGGCTGATGACAAGTGAAAATGGCGGTAGCTGGTAGCTGTTGCTATACGGGTAAACTTGACCAGACGTTGTTCGCCGGAAGCAGCGTGATCAGCGGTCAAGGAAAGCGATTGTAGATGCGACGCCAGAGAGTTAAAATGTGCGCTGAAAGGTAATGCAACTTGGGAGGGGGTGGTCAAAACTTCCGAGCGCCATGGATTGACAATTGATTGTGATAGTGAGCCTGCGACTCTGTGTGATGCGACTCAATGTAGCAATAGCAGCCGAGCTGATGCCACCATAACAAGGTCGACTACAATTTTGACTACGCACACACACGATGATGAGGCGACGACAGACCCTCGCCTCACCGCGTTTCGAACGGTCGAATGAGTGACTGGCCGGCCGATCCATCAGCAATGTTTGTTGGCTCGGCCGGCGTTATGCCAGTCGACGGAAGTGGAAGTGACCACACGAGGCGCAGTACTTCCTCTTGCCTCTTCAAGCATCGACGACTGAGGGACAGCACATTGGCGGTCTCCGTTTCTTTCCTCTCTCTGATGCCGCCGCAGCTCATGAGGTCGGTCGGTGGTCGGTGGTCAGCGACGCGTAGCGCGCCAACTGCGAACTCGTCTAATTTATACCGTTGTTTGCATTTGGCAGTGTGCGGCGTCGATTCCGCTCCGGCGAATCGCCTGGCGTTTGATTGCTTTCCACTCCGTGAGTCGCCTGATTTATGAGGTAATTTCGGCATTCGCACTATTTATGTCGCGCCGCACATTGTACGGCTGCTGACGGCAACAACATTACCAGATATGCCAATTAGAGGGGAACAGGGGCGCCCCTCGAAACTTTAAACTCTGAAGATTTGACGTCGTTGGAATCTTTCGTTTGTGTGATGCCATATTCGACTGCGTGTAACCCTTCCACAAGTTCATTGATATTTTACTAGATTCGGATACTTCTCTCGGTTGTTTGTACAGGTTTGTCTAAATGCAGAGTAACGTCAATTCGAAAGTCATAACCGGTGAAGTACCGAAGCACGTAGCTTTAAAATTCCACACCGATTGAGTGTCCGAGAATAATTCTCTTAGAAAGAAATTTTCTGATTTCATGATGGGAAGAATCAGAAGCAGCATGAAATGTCTTTTAGGCGTTGACGGTATCGGCAGCATTGATATTGTTGATAATTGAGGTCACTTTGAACAGATGCTAACAAACAGTGCTGTGTATTGCCACCAGCTTTAAGTTACTGCAGCATTAACCACTTTGCAGCATGGATCTGTTATACAGCCACAGTAGATTTAAACTGTTCATTTATTCACAACTGTGAGGTGAAGAAATTCTCAAAGGCCCGTTGATAGCGGTAAAGTTCGATCACACTGTTATTGATAAAATGCTAAACCTTCGCTTGCTCAGCCTGCACCGTTTCTTATTGGGACCAAGAAGGCCACAATATGAGAGAGAAAGACACTATGTTAGCAGGTAGTAGGATACACTCTTCGGTTCAGCCGTAAAAGATAACTAATGCAAGTTTTTAAATAAACGATGGCATCACTCACGCAAGGGTGATTGTAATTCATCTACATTCATTATAATGGCGATGCTTTGCATACAGAATTCTTAGAAAGAAGCTTGTTGAACTGAACTTCCTACCAGGTTTTATGAAAATTTTATATGCCAGATTGCATAAACAGTAAATGTGATTTTCGCCTTTCCCAAAATCCAATTTCGTCATCGCCGGTGGTCAAGAGCGAACAACAACCAAAACACTTCACTTCGTTGGGCCGCATTGAAGTAGAATGTACGTTCATGAAAACCTATAAGGTTTCTGTTTATGTGAAGTCTATCTCGGACTGTGAAACGCTCCGCTAAAGAGACTGTAACAATCGAGGTTGTTAGAGTCTATTAGGATCTCTAGGAGAAAAATATGCCGATTACAATGTCGGACGGAAGAATTGGAGGTTTTAACATTGGCTCTCTAAAAAGGCATGACGCTCGCTACTTTGTGCTTTTGCCCCTCTGAATTGAGAATGCGACCAATGAGATGGACAGACTGAAGACTTGAAGGTGAATACGACTTTAAATGCGCATCAAACCTTTATGCAGTTGATTTTGTTTATCGCTCTATTTCAAAATCGAAATTGGGGTTACACCGTGTGCTGATCACTACACTGGATAATCAGTTATCAGATAAGTCAAGGTGAAATGCAGCCACAAGGAGCCCTCGCATCGGACAGCATGGCCGTACATCTGGTCCTTTCTGGCAGGACCAGAGCAGAATACTATGCTGTCCCTATGATTCGCAAGTCACCGACTAACCACCCGTTTTTTTTGGCACGTTGCCCCAAAGCAACACTGGTGGAATTCCTTGTCCAAATGAATTTGTGGTTTAGGCAGAGGTTGTTCCTTGAGCGGATTCGAACTCGGCACCACCGGAGTTGAAAGTCGACCCATTAGGCACCGTGCCACGATGCCATAAGCCGTAACTGTGCATTTAGTTGCTCACTCTCATGACTGAATCTTGATCAGATAATCACATAGGCATTTAATTTGAAACTCAAAGAAGTACCTTAATATAATATTCTGTGGTTAAAAAATTAGGTGAGAACGATAGGCAAAATATCTTGATATTATTTTTGACCAGACACACACCTTCCAGGACTTCTATGTAGAGGCGGCAGAAACCAAATCACCGGCCAGCGTCATACAAATGCCCTTTGACACTGTTAGAAGAGCTGAAGCCTGCATTATATATGTCATCGGCTTTTCTCTGGAATTTTCTGCTGCAGAATTATATTCCTCATTCTGGGAAAGGAGCTGTCACCGAATGAGAAGACATTCAGCTGAACTAAGTGATGCAGACGATGGCAGGAACTGTTAAGTTAGCTGTTTAAGCACACCTCAGCGTCATGGTTTCTTCTCTTGTTTTAACCTTCACCCTCCGTACATTCGACGTCAAATCGCGAATCTCTGAGGAAACGACGAATCAACAGTGAACCCCAATGCCGCGCTCTATTACTAATGATACATCTGAAAAATTGCGGCTAAAGTCAAGAAAATTGTTTTGGAGTGTTTCTCGGCAATCAAAACATACCCATCACAGATCGCAGTTGGCAGATATTATGGAATACAACAGCCGTTCCTAATAAATAACAAATTTATGACTCCACCATCTGTCAACTTCTTTTTTACTTGCAGCGGACCATGTTGTACTCCATTAACCGAATAAAAACTGGACACGGCAAATATACGTATCACATGTACAAATAGAAATTTCATGATTCTCTTAAACAAAAGCATGTACGAATAGTCGAACTGTAGACTCTCTTACAACCAGATATCTGCTTTGCAAGCTAAACGGTAATATAGTAAAAAATGCAAAGATTCAGAAGCAACCTTCTAGTAGCTTTCCAGTTTAAATCATGGAGCATGATTCGCTCCTAAACGTCATGAAAAAGGAAGATTCGATCTCTCACAAGTTATTCTTGGCATTTGTAAAATATTTCCTGTCCAAGCACATTTTAACGTCGATATTCAGTTATTAAATTAATGACCCGACCTTGCAGATAGTAAGTCTTATCGAAGATGTGCTACTTCTACAACAGTTGAGACAAAACGTTCGCAATTATACCAAGGAATTTCTGAAACTCATTTTATTTCTGTGTCTTCTTCAATAGGTTGTTCGTTCAATGGTTCTGGACACAACGATACTATCATTTTTTGCCCTGACGATGACCACTGTAGTTTGACTGAAACGCCGTCAATTTTCGTAGAGACTACTATTTGCCAGTTTCTTTGTGTCAAGAATCATTGAGACGTTAGTTTGTGCTAAGTAATTTCCCTATTTAAAATCACTTTTCACAAAGAGTAGCATTCACTCAGGGTAATAGTCAGGCGCAATTCGTCAAGAACATTCTAAACAATTTTGCACATGCAGCGGCGTTGCATCCTCGTTCAGACTTTCCGACCCTCACTAGTTGTTCTGAAATGCCGGTGTTAACATTCGCATATTTCATGGCACAATCTAGAAGCAAGTTCCGGAGTTATTCACCTTGGTTACTTCAGATACGAGCATTTAACTGAGTATGAAAGTCACCGTACATC